CCTCTTTTTTCCCCTTTTTAAACATCTCTGCTTTCATCAAAAGACAGCTGACAGCACAGCTTCCTGGTGTTCTGTAGGTGGTGGTGGGAATAGTCCTGCAGATAACATTAATTTCTTCTTCTGTAACATAAAGGTAGAGACTGTAGCCGGGTGAGGGGAGGAGGATGGTCCACTCGTTGACCATCCTTTGCACAAGACGAAGCCCCACGGTACCGTAGCGTGGTACCACTTGAATCACTGTGCATTTCAGTCGGTAGAATAGAGTTGTTTCCCTGTGAATGAAGGCTGGATTGTGTTATTTAGAAAAAGGTAAGTGCTGTTTCCAAATGTGTTCCAATCTGCAGGTTGTATTCTGTTCTATTATCACATTGCCTGTTTGTCAGATTGGTTGCCATCAAGAGCAGCGTTTAGCTCTGAGATTGCTGGCCTCGCTCTGAATTTTATTCATTTGCTCAGTGTTGCTGTTCTTTGTGGGGAAAAACTCATGCAGAACTGGTGGGGTCTTCTGTTATTTTGTGGGGTTTTGTTCATATCCTTCCATCAGCTGTTTACAAAAACTAATAATTTGAAAATAATATTCCACCTGAATTTCCGTGGGTAAGAGAAACTTCAAAAATTCTTCCTCCGCAGTCCTCAAGCAACACATACATTCCGAAAGAGAGGGAATTGTGAAGGTGTTCTGGAGGATAGGAGTGGCCAGTACTGTTGAAGCAATTATCTTAAGCAATTACCTGCTGTTTTTTTCAGCACGCTGTTCGGTTTGCTCTTTTCCTCGGCTTGCAGTTAAAGATCTCTCTCCTTACTTCTTATCCTGACGTGATAATTTTTCCTGCCTCCTCCTAGTAACGAAGACGGTGTGCGCAGAGCAGTGTGATGGACGGTGCTACGGGCCCTACGTCAGTGACTGCTGCCACCGGGAATGTGCTGGAGGCTGTTCCGGACCTAAAGACACTGATTGCTTTGTATGTGTGAGACTTCTCATTTTTCTTCTTCCTGGCAGTCACACTGCAAATTCTTAATGCTTTCATCCATGAAATTCACAGTTTTGTTCCTTTTAATGTATTGCATGCACACTCCCAGATTTAGACTGCAAATTTTAGCATTTAATATTTTTCACATTATATTAACATCACTTACCTACTTAATATTACCCATTAACAGATTTATGAGATTTGTAAATACAGATTGGGAAGCATTAATATGCTAATCTCTGCGATTTCTATCTTTTGCTTCTCTAAAATTAACTTTTAGATGTGATAGGGAATTTTTAGAACTACTTGTCATTACATTTGAGCATGGCTTTTATTACTGTTGTATGTGCTTTTTATTTGAAAGTCAAGAATACAGTTTAGCTTCTCTGGGAAAGGTGTTCCCTATGACTGCCAGCCTTGATTTAAACTCCGCTTTTTTACTGGGCTTGCTTCTTCGTGGAGGTGGAAGGAAAGTGGTTTCCGACATGTACTGCCTGAAATGCTTCTGCTATGTCTGCTTAAAATGAAAGGAGGAAAAGGCTACCTTTTTCCTGGTCTCCAAAAACGTGTAGCTCATCACACTTGGTTGCAGAGATGTGTTTTGCTGATGTTTTCAGGGAAAGCAAACCTAGGCATAATGAAGCCTAGAACGAGCACACACACAGAGAGGTGGATTTTGAAAGGTACCCAAGTGACTGAAGAGACAAAGAACTATGAAGTTGGGTAGGCTCCTTTTCAAACCTGCCAGATGGAACTGGGAGGAGGGATCTTGTGGTATGGACGATTGCAGATGCTTTCATACTGTAGGCAAGTGGCTTCACAATGAACTGGCAGAAATGAGTCTTTCCCTGGCTGGACCTGAAACTTGGTCCCTGTTCAAATATTGTTTGAGAGTGGCAGGTATTGTGCTTCCAAGCACATTCTAAATGCTGTTCTTCCGCTGCTGCCGCTGAAATTCAGCGATGGCCTGAGTGAACTGCTGACAGGTTTTGCTAGAACTGTTCTTCGTGCTGGGGCTTTGCACAAGTAGATATTCATCACCCCTGGTCCCCCTAGCGCAGAGCTCACTGGGAGTTCTGTGTTGGCTTTGGACTAGAGATGCAAAAATAACATGTTCCCATGTCATGTACCATCCAAGTAGGAATAGGAAAGAGGAAAAGTGCAGTTACTGTTGCCGTATGGCTGTTGAGGAGCATCCTCAAAGCTGGTGTGTTGATGTGTGCCCCTTTTCAAAGGTTCAGGACCAGTTATTTGCAGCTTAAGTTCAGTAATACTGCAGCCTGAACGAAAAGGAGTTACACTGGGTGAGTTGCGGCAGTTATGGAAATACGTATGCTAAAAACCAACGGCTGTGTTTGTTCTGTTCCAGCAGAGAAGCACCCAGGGCTTTATTCTCATTCACTGCTGGCCCCAGAGCCATGTAAAAGAAATTCAGCAGGGGTCTGGCAATTTTCAGAACTAGTCATTACTCGCTTAGTGCACACTGGGTGAAGAGTGTAACCCTTGAGGCTATAGACAACTGTGCTTAGCTTTCAGCTGAGAGACACCACTTCGGTTTTGCCCTCTGTACTTTCCTCTGCTTTCATTCACAGATTAGTGGCATTTAGCACCAAATGCTAGAAGTGTGCATATATTATCGAAGCAATTACGAATGCACACAAAGCATTATAGCCATAAATTAAAAGTTCCCAAATCTTCTAGGTGAGTTTTTCCCAAGAAGTGCCGTCTCTCTGAAGAGTATCGGTTTGCTTTGCTTTATGACTTTCCTAAACCTCTGTCAGAGGATTGTCCTGTACATGATAGAGAGCCTTTAAAGTCTACCGTGGATGTAAAAAGTGTGTTGAGGAAACAAAGTAAGTTAGTTATTTATTGATAAGCAAAAGTACAGTTCCTGAAGCATTGCAAATCCTTCTGTTTATTATGGCAGCTTGCAAAGGCATCCTGTTCTAAATGTGGGTTTAATATTTCTAGATAAAATTCACTGTCCTCCTCCATATGCTGCCATATTCAGTTCTAAAAGCACGACGATAATCATCATCTGACACAACTGCCAGCAAACATGCTAAAACAAAGTTTTAGAGATGTTCCTATCTTGTGTTCAAAACCGAACTGGATCTGAAACTTGAAATGCATAGGAGGGCCTGCTTGAGTGCCCAGTGGAACCAGACAAGTGACACAACCCTATTCATAAGGTGGACTTTCCGTCCAGTTACAGTAAAGAAGTAACTGACTGTCTTTATCTTTGTAAGAAAAAAAAAAAAAAAGTCTGGTTCTGGGAGAACATGGCAGTTTTTGTAATGGGCATTTTCCAGAGCCAGAAAGGATAGGGTGAGCAGTTTGCCTTAGCTCGTGCTCAGTATAGGACAGTGCCTTCATCATGGAACTGCCTCTGTGTCCCCTTCAGCAGCAGATTTGGTCCTTCCTTAGTTACAGGATTGGCCTCTCCCTTCTGAAATCCTCTGATGTGCCAAGTAACCTTCCTCAGTCCTGATCTGAACGGAGATACAGACTCGTAGCAAAAGCAGAACAGCAGAATCATTTTCACTTTTCCCCCAGCCCTGGAGGGGGCGTGACACACATGTTGGTATACTTCCCCACTCTTTAAAGTTTCAAAACAATCGGTGTGTTTTTACAACCTGGAGAAGGACCAGAGGACAGACAAAAACTTGTAAAGCAACTTGGCTTCTGGAAGGCAGGTTAGTGGGGAAGCAGAATCCAGGACCAGTGGTTGCCTCAGGTGCTAGAGGGACCCAAGCCAGGCTGCAGCTTTCATCGTCGTAGGAAATTTGACATCTGCGGTATACTTTGGGAAATTACTCCAACACTTTTTACAAGCGGTGGTTAAAACCATAGACATGATATGTGGTCATAAGCAATGTCAAAATCGGTGAGGTTTTTCTATTACTAATTACCAACCTTGCAAGGTCAATTATTTTCCCTGCATACTGTTGCTCTCTTTATCCACACACTTGCCTCTTTATTTGTCAGGGCCCTGTCCTCTGTCAGCTGTGGGTGGCTGAGCTTGAATGCTCAGTGATACAAGGTCCTGTTTTCTCCGTGTGTGAAGCAGCTGACCTTGTTAAACTTGCCACTTAGGGAAATGACCCCCTCCTGTGCTAGCTCAAAAGAAGTTCTTATCCCTCTTACTTTCTAATTGGGACTTTGAGTTTCCAGCTGGAGGATGGACTCCTGCTCCATGACTCCAAGTCATTAGCATTTGTTCAGACTGACTGTGATAAACAGCAGTTCACTCTTGGCAGTTGGAGAGTGCCCTATCGAGTTGTGACTTAGTTGGTTGCTAACAATAGTTGTGAAACAAATTACAGTGTTTTGTTTTTGTTGGAGGTGCTGTAACAGTCAACTGTGTTTCTAACTGCGGCTCGCCAGCTCACAGAGGCCCTTTTATAAGTCATGTATTTGCCAAGATCCTAGCAAGAAACCCAGGTAGCCAAAATGAAGGTTAGGAAACTCTGCATCGCATTCCTCACTGTGGCAGCAAATCTGAAAAATCAGGACTATCTTTTAAACTAAAGAACTCAGAAGCAGCCATATGATTTCATTTAATGTTTTTTTCTCCCTTGCTTTGCAGGCCTGCATGAACTTCAATGACAGCGGTGCATGTGTCACCCAGTGCCCCCAGACTTTCGTCTACAATCCTACCACCTTCCAACTGGAGCATAATCACAATGCCAAGTACACCTATGGGGCTTTTTGCGTCAAAAAGTGCCCACGTAAGTGCTGCCTTCGCTGCCTTTTCCTGCAGCAATGGAAAGTTTGAGTTACCTTTCAGCAGCCGTGCAAAACGAGGAGAGAATGAGAGCTAAGTGCAGTATCTCCATTCACTCCACGTGTGCTTGCAGCCTGTAATAACTCACCATGTGGTAACTAAAGACAGTGACGTTCTGGGTTGCCGACAATTTCCGAGTATCCTGTACGGTTGTGATTTTCTTAAAGAAAGGGAATTCACCAAGTTTCTGTTTTCAGCACCACCACGTGTTACATTCACGCTTTAGATCAGCGTATGCACGTGTCAGAACGAGCTGCTAAAATAGTTAGTGGGGTTGGTTTTAAAAGGGTAAGAATTCCTGTTTCAGAGAAATAGGTCAACCACCAGTACTACCTGGCACCAAATGTTTTCGTGATAGTGATGCCCTTTACACAGCTTGGAATAACGACGCTTTGACAGAAAGTTACCATAAACATTTTCTGAGCAGTTCTCTCCCAATGAGAAAAACTATGCAGTACTGCCAACAATACAGTCTTAAAGCTCCAGAGTAAAATTAGAGGGGAGGAGGGTGTTTAAAAAAAAAAAAATCCTGTGTATGTAACAAACATGTGCTTCTGAGATGCCGGACAGATGGTGACTAACAGAAAAATGTAGAGGGTCATCACTTCCATCATCTTCAATACTGATGTTTTTTAGAAAGAAAAACAAGGGAGGCAGTATTCTTGCTCCCCCTTTCACTCCCGTTTTGGTTTTTTGAAGCAAGATCTTTTTTTTTTACAAAACCTGTATACCATGCACTACTTAAGGGACACCATTCTTTGTCCAAATACTGCATTGAACTTTTTTTCCCTTTCTTGACATTATTAAGCTTTCAATTAGATAGGACCAGTCCTATCCCCTTTGGCAGTTGTTTTACAAGGTGAAATTGAAATACTTGTCATTGTCTTGTGCAGTGTTTTATCCCAGATGTATGTATTTGTGTATGTATGAAAGAGAGCATCTTATTTCTCTCCTGTTACTGTAGCTTTTGCTACCACAAATAGTGAGATAACCAAACTGGGGGAGGAGAGGGAATCAGGCCTGACAAGTCCCAAAAAACATGCCTAATTTGCTTGCTTACACACTTCTGAAAACCCCAACATTAGATGTTAATGTCAGTGTTGAAGTGCTGAGGGAAATAATCATATGGATTAACATAAAGTCCATAAAGAAGTGTCCCATTATTATTTAGTCCAGTGGTTCACATTTTGCCAATATCCTCTTTTTCTCTTCAGACAACTTTGTGGTAGATTCCAGCTCTTGTGTCCGCGCATGTCCAAGCTCCAAGATGGAGGTTGAAGAAAACGGTATCAAGATGTGCAAGCCCTGCACTGACATTTGTCCTAAAGGTAGGCAGTAGTTTAGTGTAGTTATTCTTAATTCCTTGCATGTGGTCCACACTGGAATAGAGCAGGGTGTTACTTCGGCGTGAAATACCCTCTGTGAGTATGTCCTAGAATATTAATAGCCTTTGGATAGCCACAGAACTTTGAGCTATGTAGGCTGTGTGTGAAATACTAAGTTGTAGTAGTAATATAACCACACCAATTACTTTTGATCAGATAAAAAATGCAGGGGATTTCTCGGTGGGTTTTAGAGAAATCTGAAGGAATTCTTTACTATGTTATTTTAATGGCAAGTATTTCCTGGAGGTGTTTTAGAGCTGTCCTTTTATCATTCCAAAGAGGGCCATACTAAAGCCCTGGCTTCCATGTATGATAGGTCCCATACTTGTCAATACAACATTAGATTTCCATTTATTTCCTCTGGTTTTTAAAAATGGCTGTTTTCCCAGAATCTTCTACCTCATTTCTAAGTGTCTACAAGATAGACTAGAAGCTTTCCAGGGCTGGTGTTGTTGAGAAGACCGACATCTATAGGTTACTTTGCTGTCCCAAGCTCCACTAGGGACTTTCAGCTCCCTGCTTGAAGGTCTTGAGCAAGGCCCCATCCGTTTTCCCATGTGGGCCTGTGCCACTTTTCAGTCCTAGTCTCAGTTTTAAATTGCACATGCTTCTTTGGGAGTATGGGTAAAGGGTGCCGTTTCATCACCTCTCTGCTGCTTTATCTCTGAAAGAAATTAAGACTCATGCCTCTGTTGTTCCTGGTTCCTTACACAAACTCCTTGTTTTGGCAGCATGTGATGGCATTGGAACGGGGAGCTTAGTGTCAGCTCAGACGGTGGATTCCAGCAACATTGACAAGTTCATAAACTGTACCAAGATCAATGGGAACCTTATCTTCCTTGTTACTGGGATTCATGGGTAAGTGACAAAACGTTAAGAAGCTATGTCATGGTGCCAGCTGAAACGAATTGTGTCCACTTCCTAACGATGGTGGCAGGCTTCTTTTATGGAATAGCAGATCCGGGATAAATTAGCCTTCTGCCTTCCATTATGAGGGAAACTGTTACCTTGATTCTTATGATTCAACCTATAGGAAAAGCAAGGGTGAAGTAGACTGTTTGCACTACAAAGAGAGAAGACGACTGTGATCTTTGGTTACTTTGAGATCTGCGGTACAGGCTTACAATAACAACGGATTAGAGAATAGAAGGGAGAAAGGGAAGTTACCTTCCACTTGTTTGCTTTAAATTTCGTCTGACCAGCAGCCTACTGTGCAGAATATGCCATGAGAGTGCATCACCCGGCATCAAGTCACAGCCTGGGTGGCTGTCACCACACGTGCACACGGAAAAGCTGCCCTCTTGTCAGTCGGTTTTGAAGTATATATTCAAGTTTCAGAGATACCCAAAACTCACTGGTATTTAAATCCAGTGTTTTGGTTTAGATATGGCTGTATATTGAGTAAGTCTTGGTAGCGGTTGAACATGGGGAGATACAGAACTGGTATTTAACAGTTTTGTGAACGGCTCCTTCTAAAGGGAGATCCACCAGCCAGATAACCAGTGCCTTGCTGTTCGGAGCGCTGTGTGTTTGCCCGTGTAGCAAAGGGGAACGCATGGTGCAGATGCTGCAAGGGTGGGACATGTCCAGGGAAGACAGACGTTCTCTCTTTCGGCGGTCAGGTGAGCTCCAATGCAACTGGCCCCTTTCTTGCTTTGTCTTCCTTCTGTCACTGAGAGGCCATAAGTATGATCACATCTTCTTGGTAATCAAAGCCTTCATGTTGTAATCAGCCATGGTGAATTACATGTGACACTTTGAGTTATTTCAGGGCCTATTAAAATGAGCAAAATCCTCAAAATGCACAAATAAGATTAAACCCTTTTTCCCCTTTGTTGCAATAAGTATATAGGTATTCCGTGGTGCATTGACAGTGTAAAGTACTCAGTTGCTTCTACCACTGCATAAGCTTCACATTTTAACTAACTTCTAAGGTTTCTCAGAGCTTTCAACATTGCTTGCATGTGGTCGTCAAGGTGTGGTATCTTAAATGCAGTTCCCAAACCAACTCCATGTTTGCAGCCTTCTGGCATAGCAAAAATGCAGTGAACCACATGTCTGCAGATTGATCTGAAACGGAATTCTGGCATGAGTACTGCCAGCAGGCTTTTCTTTAGTTTTCTATGGATTGAGATGATGATAACGTGGTTGACACTAGGCTGCTAGACTCAGATTTCCCTACTAGGTGAGGTGGAAGGAAGCAGCTTGTTTCCATGATTTGATGCAGTGATTGGTTGTAATGCTTCACCTGCGAGTTGACTCCAGCCATGAGCAAGACCGTTGAAAATCCACTTCAGTGGGGCCCCGCAGCTCAGTGATTCTCAAAGGCCGACGAATGTGAGCCTTGACTGCGTAGCTGGGCTTCTCAATCTCTGCAGCAGGGAGTGCGGTGGCAAAGGTTAATGTAGCGTAAGGAGGAAGAAGGACTTTGGTTCAAGTGGTTTAAGGAAATGCTGCTTCCAACTTGTTGAAACCCTGGAGAAGGTCACACAGGAGTCAGCGCTCGGGCCATCACACTTTCTGCTCTGGCCAAATGACCGGCCGGGAGGATGGACATAGATCTGTTAAATCTCGCAGGACAGGAAGTTCTGTAGTAAAGGCAGGGCAGGCAGCTGGAGGACATGAGCAATGTTGTGTGGGTTACTCCAGTGCGTTACATGAGGTGTAATTTTGAGTATTAGAACTGCTTTCATTGCAAGAGTTCTATTAGCTGCAAACTTAGAAGTCTCATTTAAAAAAATCTATCTAAATTAAAGGGACCAAAGCCAACCTTGAACAAAACTGTATTTTTCTAAAAAATGCCTAAAGTTTGCACAATAAAGTAAAGGGTTAAAATATTTTGTTCTATTGTAAAAGAAGAATGTAAGTCTAGGACACGTCATTTTGAAACTGTGTAGCACTTTGTCTCTTCTTCTTTATGAAGAAAACTAACTCCAACAAGTCTCAAGTATGAGGACACTGAGTTCTGCAACCCTAGATGTTTCCACCGCATAAATTACAGTGGTATATATTAGAAGATTTGAGAAGTAATTAAGTTAGCTTTGTATTTCTGGAACAGCTTTTTGTTTACAATTTCTGTTATTTTTTGCAAATCAACAATACAGAAAGGAAATTAAAAAACTGACACTAGCTGCACATGTAGTTTATTATACAAATGGACAGCATAGAGCAACAACAACAATACGTGTTTCCACTCCCACTTTTAATTGACTTCTCATATAAATTCCTTTACTCAGAACTGCAGGGTTTAAAAGCATGAATTTTCAGTGTTTCAGATTTTAGGGACTTAAAGTCTACCTCTTTGTGGGGAATTGAGAAACTTTTCGTAGTGGCAGAGGGTAACTTCAGTGAAAGATGCCAAGTGGATTGTTGTTTGTTTTCATTGGGAACTGTGCTATTACTATTGATCCTGTTGTATTTTTGATCCTGTGGTTCTGTAGTGTGCCTCTCCCTTTCCTGACTACTTGAACTTCAAGTCTTTGTGAACTTGTAATAATTTACATAAAACTCTATTAATTATGCAGTTTCATGCACAACTGTTTAAAATAGTTTATATATCAATTAGATAACTATGAATTGCCTTTAATTAGAGTCCAGAAGTTAAGTGGGATGAAGGTAGACCTAAATTTTGGTGAGTCAGTAGTACTCATTCTTCTAAGGTAATGCTTTGCTGTAGTATATGGGTCATCATTAGGATACATATCTGCTGCCTGCGATAGAGACAGAAAGGACAGTGGCTGGAAAATGGGTAGGACATGTACCGGTCGGATGCAGCCTTCTCTCTGCTGTTTCCCTCAGGTTGGGGTGCTAAAAAGCCAAGCTGCCTTCTGCTTCTGTTGCTGCCAGTGAAAGGGAGGTAGATACCGAGGAGAGCCGTAGTTTAAGGATGGACAGCCCCAGCTAGCAGCAAATGCTGCCTTCTCCCCACTACCCTCCTCAACTTGCAGCAGGAGCAAGAAGCCTATGGTGCTCACCAGCTTTTTATCTTCCCTTTAGTTGTCCACCTCCAGTTTCGCAGTGAGCTGAAGCTCTCATTCTTGGAGCTGTAAAATTCAGCTGTGCCTGCTCTTCTGAAAAATCCTGGCTTTGCTATTGAGAATGGTAGAAGATGACTGCATTATTCTACAGTTTTATATGCTGATAAAACATATCAGACATTTGGCTGTTTAAAGGATTTAAGTCTATATTTGTACCTTTAAACACTATCTTAGGGTTGGGAGATGCAGTTCATCAACCTCATGTTTATTATAGGCAAGGGTTTTCCTTTTTTGATAGTAATGCATCTTAAAAGCAAAGTGCTCTGTTTCTGTTAGGTAGCCAAAACTTGTAATCTGGTTTTCAGAGAGCCCCAGGTTGTTGAAATTGTGTATGATGTTTCTGTGGTCCACTGGGCTTTATCTTAAGGTTCAAGAGCTCATTTTGTTGCTGCTAACCTGGAGTCACCTCCAGGATGGTTAAAACTGACCCCATCAGTCTGTCACCTCATGGACTTGCAAGGCCTGTCCCCAGAGACAGTCTAGTTGATTATCTCCGCGCTCCAGTTCCAAGAATGATGTCCTGGAAAGCAGGAGGAGAAGTGGAAATATATTCTCCACGTTTCCTACCCTCGGAAAACCCACAAAAATACCGTAACATGGCATTACAGAAGGATTTTTAAAGGATTTCTGTTTGGGTTAGGCTTCTACTTGACTTCATAATACTCCTTTAAAATTAGGGGGCTAAAAAACATATTTAGTAAATGATGGCACTCTGAAAATCAAGGTCAGCTTCGTCTTTTTACACTGTAGCATATCTAACTTTGAGATTGTAATGTTTGGTGGGGCTATTTCATTCCTTAGGTGGCAAACTTGCTTGGCAAGGATCTGTGCTTTTTTATGTTCTCTGTTCAACACCTTCTAAAAAACGTACCCTGTTAATGCCACGTGTCAGGAACTGCTGGCATGCTCTTGGTTTTGGTTTGCTTATAGCCCCTCACCGGTTTCAGTAAGGGTTTTGCTAGTCCTGGTGGTGCAGTACCACCACTCTACCATTCAAGCCGGTACGCCTGGAAAAAATATTGAGAACTCGTCTTTCCTTTAGGGAGGTCTCCCATGGTTGTTTAGAATCCCTTAATTTTCCATAAGCATAAGTATTTGCTAAAGCAGTAATGATTTGAACCTTAAAGATGCTAAGCACCACTATTTTCCTTCAAGATAACTTGGGAGAAGTTAGACATGGGTTCTGCAGGAACAACAGGCTGAAGAAACCTGAAGCATATGCAGCCTAAAAGCAAAGTGTTGACCTCTTGCCTACCACTTTCTACATGCTATACCTTGGAGAACCTGATCTTTCTTTATTCCAAGTGTCACGTTTTTCCTTTTGATCTTTCAGGGACCCGTATCACACAATTGCCGCAATCAATCCAGAGAAGTTAAATATCTTCCAGACAGTGAGAGAGATAACAGGTAACATGATGATTTCCTATAATCTGAGCTTCTCACTTTGCTTTTACGGTTGTCATTTGTTGGGTTTTCTGAAGAACACAAGGTGCTTTTTTTCTTTAAACTCACTGTAAATTTCATAAAAGTTCAATACACGATCGCTTTGAGATCAGTTGATATTCACAAGTGTGTTGCTCTTTGCTCATGAACACAGAACACCCATTACGTTTGGGAGACATGAGCATCAGAAGACCACGACCTTACTGTTGAGTGGGCGAGAGGTCTTGGCCTTCACTTGGAAGCATTTGAAATATGCCTTGGAAAAAAAAAAACAAACAGACAAACCAATCTGGTTTTGCTCCTACTTCACTTGGTCTGACAGCGGATGCTGCTGTAAATTAGCTTCTGTAATTTAAAGAGAGATGTACAATGTGTGAGGAGGGGGTCCCACCCATCTCTTGTGACTTTGCAGGGGATTCATATAGCTAGACCTCAATACTTCGTTTTCTTGCATCTTACTTCTCGTTATTTCACCCTTTGGGGGCAGGGAGGAAGATACTGCAGTTTGGAGTTCTCGGTTGCTGATGATGTATAGATAGGGAAATGCAAAATACTCTTATTTCATGCACAAAAAAAAGGTTTTTTGGATGCTACAGCATGATTGTAGCTGGGTGGAGCTCAACGTGTGTTTGGCATTTGAAATGAGTTCTCTCTCACGTGCTTCACCTCACTCAAGTTGTGTATTTCAGCAAGCCAGTGGTATTAAAAAATGAAAGTAAGCTCTAAATCTCTCCCTAATTAATATCAAAGATAATCTGGCATCTGGGTGTCTGTAATTTGCCATTCTTAAGCACACTGTCTAATTGACAGTCTCAGCTCTGCTACTTAAGTGGAATTACCCCTACGCTTAAAGATGGGCTGCGTTTCAGTCCAGCACGGACTCAAAATCCCAGGGAGATGCACTCCGTAGAGCTCTGTAGCACAAGGTAGGTAGTCCCACGTACTTGAGCAGAGAATACTCTCTGGTGAAGAACAGTCCTTGCACACGCCCTCAGCAAGAAAAGCAAGTTCTTCGTTTTAGGAAAGTCTTGTCATCTTTTAGTGCTTCACAAGGGATCTCTCAATGTCTGTCCTAAGTCTCTAGCACGCTTTAAAGCTAAATGTTCTTAACTCAGGAAAATGTCCATTATTTTTCCTGCTGCTGCTGTTTAGAGGGGGCTGAGAGGCCTTGCAAGGTTCAGCCTGTGGTTAGGTTCACCTTCCTTGGGGAAAGTGGACGTAATGCTCCTGGGACTTAGTCCTCCTTTACCTTCTGGGAGGAGACAGCGGTGAGCAGCCTGGTGAATTCAAAGACAGCAGTCCACAGCATTCCTTACCTATTGATTTCTTTCCTCAAACCAGTACTGCCTTCCATTTATAGGCTAAGCCTATCCTAATCCATGGATGTGATAACGCAGTCTGCGTGGCTGAAGTCATCAATACACGTATGCTTGCCTTTTTCTCCTTCAGGGTATTTGAACATACAGTCATGGCCTGAGAATATGACAGATTTCAGGGTGTTTTCTAACTTGGTTACCATCGGTGGAAGAGCTCTCTATAGGTAAGGTACCTCTGTTGATGTTTTTTATTATTATTCAATGATTCTTTGCTCAGTGGCACAGAACGCAACATCTTTTGGGAAGGGCATCATCAATGGGTATGGTTTTCACTGTTACCAAAGTGTTCATTAACAGTATCTTTGCTAATTAATTATTTACGCCTTTTGAAATAACGATTTTTAAAAAAGCAACATCTTGGCTCATTGCTGTAGCTGTTAACTCATTGCCCAGAAAGCACATTTTATGGTGTGTGAATGTGGAACATCAGTCAAAAGACAGTAATAGTAGAACTTAGCCCCATTATCAGGAAGTTTGTATGGTTGCGATTGGAAGTGCGGGCTCACGTGCCCAAAGAATTGTGTAGCCTTAAGAAGTGGTAAGTCCAGGAACGAGCACTGCAGTCACTCAGGTACCTCGCAGGCAGGGCCTACGTTTGCCCTGTAGTGCTGCTGTAGTGAAAACTCACATGGAGGAATTGCTTTGAAGAGAAGAAAAGGCGGTGAGGAATAATGAGGGAAGCACGAGAAGGTACCTGAGTGATACATACAGCAACCCCTGCTTCCCCATTGTGTAAAGGTAGTAGAGCAGTCTTGGGGTTCTGCTGACATCTTAAACAGCAACCCCAGCAGACTATGAACAGCAGTGAAACCTTGAGACTGAATTACAGCCCAGCCTTCTGTTTGGGAGCAGCAGTCTTACTTTATAACAGCTGGAAAACAATTATAATCATTAAAATACACTGACTTAAAGGATGCCCAGCAACTGGATATTGTCTTTTATGACTAGTCTTCAGTCATAAAATACGTGCAGTCATTTCCATGTTACACAGACAGTCATTTACCATTCCTTTGATGAAGAAAGGCGATAACCACATACTGCAACAAAAGACAAATGAAATGTGGAAAGTGGGCTGGAAAATTTTCCTTGGAAATAACCATTTCTTCCTGTATTACTATAAATGACATTAATTTGATGCCTGACAGAAGATGTTAATAGGTGTTGCACGACTCTGTCAGGTTCTCCTTAGCATATAAACTATCGTTGTATAAGTACTGTCATCTTAAAAAAAAAAAAAAAACCCACACAAAAACAAAAAACCCACTGAATTTTGTTCAGTTTTCTCAACAGCACTTCATCTCAAAAAAACTGCCAATGGGTGAAATACAACTGGCCCAGTTGGCCCAGTGGTGTGAACCTCACAGCTTGCGGTATCACCAGTCTCACATTGCTCACAGTTTTCTAGGCAATAGAACTGGATCTTGACACATAAAATATTTGTGTCACCCCAAAATAAGAGTTTTCTGACCAAATTTTAGTTTTGCCAGAAAGATCATGATGACATTAGGAACTAATTCTAGTGGGACATTCCCAACCTGCTCTAAATTTCACCTTGTGGAGCTAATTCCTGTTCTCTCTTACTTTTCTTTTTTCATCACAGCGGCCTTTCCTTACTCATCCTAAAGCAGCAAGGCATTACCTCTCTGCAGTTTCAGTCCTTGAAGCAAATCAGTGCTGGCAACATCTACATCACAGACAACAGCAATTTGTGCTACTACCACACTGTCAACTGGACCAGCCTCTTCAGCACACCCAGTCAGAAGACAGTGATTCATCGAAATAAGAAGGCAGAGAACTGCAGTAAGTACTGCTGCTGAGTGCAGCTCTTCTTGCCTGTGATTGTCTCACTGTGGGGAAAATGATGCAGTTACTGACAGGATACAGAGCAGGGAACACGCCTGGAACTTGGCTGGTGTCTCTGGGAGCTGCACAGGCATCAGTGGTCATTCTGCCTCCTTACCATGACGTGAACTTTCCAGATTAGAGACCCAGTTTCACAAATATGAATTCTGAATGCTGTAAATATGGAGTGAACGTAGCGTCCATGAAAGGCACTGACTTCACAGATTGGAAAACTACAGCCCTTCCCTTACGGAGTGAGATGGGCATCTTTTGCTTCCCCTACCCTGCTTCACCAAAGTGGCCCTGTCTTAATCGGAAAAGGTGACTTCTAGGACTGTTTTTGATCACTGGGTTCCTCCTTTCTGCACTTGACCTATCTGATAAGGAAGATAACTGTTAATTGGGCCTAATTGTCTTTCAGGAAAGCTTACATGCCAGTACCTGGGCTGAGGTTACAGTACTGAAAAGCAAATGAATGCTATGCAGCAGATGAAACAATTTCGTTATGCAGAAATCAGGCAGCAAATTGCATTAATACAGTCATATCGTAGCAGCAATACAGTTCATTTTAAGCATCTGTTAGACTGCTAGCAAGAGAGGATATTCATTAAATTGCTGTATGTTTAAGTGGTATTTCTGGGTTTTGTGCTTTTGCCAGCCAGAAATGTTTGCTTTGGGTTTTTTCAGGCTGTGGTCCTACTTTTAATTTATTCTTTTAGTTCTTTTTTCCTTTTTTTTTTTTTCCTTTCCCTCCCTTTGAAGTACTGTTCTGCTGTGCTTTGAGAGAATTTGTGTCTCTGCTCATCACTGTAATAGGAGTGTACCTTCCGGTGTTAGGTGAAACACAGCAGTACATTTATTGCTGCTGCTCAGTTATTTTTCTGATCTCTTCTGCCATGTAAGAGCTTCATGAAGTGGAGAGTCTTGTTTGGTAGGTCTCTGCATGGTTGTGGTGGTGGTTGTCAGTATTTTGCTATTTCTCTGCACACAAGCTAAACAAACGAAGGTTAAAGAAATACCCCTTGCAGGGGATGTAGGTAGTTTAATTGTGATCATGCCTGAGGTGTAGAGGGAAAGGGTTGTTAGCAACCTCCAGCAGACCCCCGTCCGCTTTTGAGCTGCAGCATACTTTATCCTTTGACGTAAACATTCTGTTAGGAGAGACAGAAGGACGTGTTGAACAGACCTCTTCTTGGTAGATGTGTGTATGTTGGTAAAAATGTCCTTGGCGTCACTTGAGAAGGTATGGATTAGACCCCTAAATATGGTAGGATGTTTTGTGGGAAGGCAGTACAGAAGGTGGAGGTCTGCTGCTACTTCTGTGGTGAGGAAGAGCACACGGGTGTCCTGTGTGTCGCACAGCTTCGTGCCCTGGCGTCCTTACTGCTGTAACCCAGCCCAGGGCAGGAGTAAATGAATCCAGAAGGCTGTCTGGGAGAGTAACGTAGCGCTCCTTGTCACCCGGAGGTGATCGAACACGTGATGATAATCTTGTGTGGGAATGGAGCGTTGCTGAAGAGTCCAAGAATAGTCCTGAATAATGGAATGGGTAAACCGGTTACAGGGCAAAGAAGGCTGCACAGTCTCTGATTTTCAACACACCCAACTTTAGCTTGTTCTGAATTAGCTCCAGTTGCTCAACATCCATGAGCTTGGTATCATCGTCTTAATGGCTCCTGTACTCGTTTTTCATCTTTTCCATCTCAAGGCTTTTTCTTCGCTTTGAGTTCTTCTGAGAGTTAATACTTGGAGTAAGGCAGAACTGTTCCGTAGAGCCAGGTGCATTTCTCCAGCATCCTCTGAAACGTCCGGGATTTTCAGGATAGGTCAACAGAGTGGGGTTTGGGAGAGTTTTCTCTGAATCTTCCACTGCCTGAATGTTTGGGATCTGAGGACAAGCCTCTGGGGTTTCAGTTTCTGCCTTTCCGGTATTTTGGCGGTTATAGACCCCAATCCTGCAGATGTTGGGGCATATAATAAGACTAACCAGATGGGGAAGGGAAATGCATAAGTATGCGTTTGCAGGATCCAAATCCATCCTCTGCGAGAGAAATACTATCTGCTTGCATGGTAACTAGCAGGGTGTGTGTTGGTAATAAAAATATCCATTAGAGGTTATTTTTGCACATGGTTTCCAGTGAAGAAACCAGTCCAGACCATGTTAATTATTACAGCCACTCTGAGGTATGTTTACTATTATTCCTTTGTATATTTTGAGTCACTATCAGCTTGTCTTTGCTTTCATAGAATCATGGAATGGTTTGAGTTGGAAGGGACCTTAAAGACCATCCAGTTCCAACCCCCCTGCCATGGGCAGGGACACCTTCCACTAGACCAGGTTGCTCCAAGCCTCATCCAGCCTGGCCTTGAACACTTCCAGGGATGGGACATCCACAGCTTCTCTGGGCAACCTGTCCCAGTGCCTCACCACCCTCTCTGGGAAGAATTTCTTCCTGCTATCTAATCTAAACCTCCCCACTTTCAATTTAAACTCGTTACCCCTTTTCCTGTCACTACAGGCCTTTGGAAAAAGTCCCCCCCAGCTTCCTTGTAGCCCCTTCAGGTACTGGAAGGTGCTATAAGATCTCCCCGGGGCCTTCTCTTCTCCAGGCTCAACAAGCCCAATTCTCTCAGCCTTCCTTCCCACGTCTTTCCTCCCTACCTAGTGATTGTTAATGTCTTAAAGCAAGTTAAAGCAAACATTTAATATCCATGTGTAGCTTTTCTTAAAACTCATGTAAGAGCTTCCAAGATGTAGGCAGCATCATATTTAAGTGACTTTCAGCATGTATCCTAAGACGGCAATATCTTTTCCATACCGCTTAATGTGGTGTTCAGCTGACCGTACACGTCAGTAAGGAAACATTAAAGTGATTGGTGGAGTAAAATGGTTGTCAGAAAGTTTAATCTACAGTGATGCTTCATCTGTAGATAACACTGACATTATAGGTCTTGGCAGAACTCTTTTTTTGGTTTGTTTTTTTTCAATAAGGAAGATAAGCAACCTGGTCTAGTGGAAGGTGTCCCTGCCCATGGCAGGGGAGTTGGAACTGGATGGTCTTTAAGGTCCCTTCCAATCCTAACCATTCTATGATTCTATGATTCTGTAATGACACCAAACTTCAGTCAGTGGAAGATGCTACAGAATTATCCAACACACAAAATATACCTTATACTCCTGTTACCATCAATTGTTTCACCTTGCTATTTCTGCTACTTCTTAATACTAGAATAGTCACTAATATTTCACCACCTTTGAGCTGGCTTTTCCACAGGCTGGTTAAAAGCCCAAGGCAGACTACACTTATTTGTAAAATGTTGAAAATAGAGCAAAACATATGTGTGTTCTTAGAATCAAAAAAATCTATAAGCCCCACGATCTCTATTGCTTTGTGCTGTCTTTCTAATATTGTCGGATGAGGGGCCAGAGAGCGGTGGGTACCCAGAAGGAATGTGACGTCTCTCATCTCCACTTCCCCTACACACCTTCAGTGATAGAAATGTCAGCGTCTAAGCTTGTGTGCACAGGGAACAATGGAGAAGGTGTCACCCTTGAGGCTGAACACCGTGCTAAGGGCGACAGTAGGTGATCATCAGGAAGAGGTTTCTGAGCTGCGTAGACCCTAAAAGCCGCCCAGGCATGGGGGCAGGTTACAGGAGAAGGCTTGAGGGCAAGGGGCACGTTGAGGTTTCAGCAGCCAGCGCGCCTTGAGCACAATCTGATAGCATGTCCCAAGGTTGCTTAAGAGTTCAGATGGCAAATGGGCATCTTCCAGCTGACAAGCCAACTGGAAATTAATGGGAGAGCATTTATATTAAATGCAGCCCATGAAGCTCTCATCTAATGCAGACTTTTAATTGTCCACTAATATAAACTGTAATGTTAAACATAGGTTGTGCATGAAACTTACTTCGTTATGAACATCATGAACGCAGAATGAATGACTATGAAGTTTCTGTGCTCTCATAGTTAGATTTTATCGTTGTTCTGTGAAGAATCTGCCTTTTCCCAGCGTGGGGTTTTTTATGGAACAGTCAGAGGTGACTCATGTTAAATAGGAGTGCACACAAAATAAATGTAGGAAAAATGTTTTTATACAAAGTTATTTAAATAATTCCTTTCAGCTTTAGTGACACCTGCGGTGTACAGTGAAACCTTTGTAGGCAAAGGTTGCTATAAATGTGGTTGTTATGAATTATGTCAATTTAGCCACCAATTAACAACTTGAATGAATGATTACATTCATTATCAAGCATGATGCAAAGCTAATTGATGTCTGTGGGAGCTTTTTTATTGAGTTCACAGAGCTTTGGATCAGGCCCATAAGTGTATAGCCAAATAACAATAACTTTTAGCTAATTTTCTTGTATTCTATCCAGGTTGAGGAAAAACACTGAACCTTTCTGCTCCTAACCTGTGTGACCCCATTAATAAAGACTGAACATTTTTTTCTAAAACTTCCGATGAAAAGGAGTTCCTGTCAAAAGCATTCTTGTTCTTGCCTTCCACATATGGCCACGTGATGTGCTGGAGCTTCAGAACATTCTCAGCCCGTGGAAATGCCAAATAATGGGTCTAAAATTGAAACACTTCTTTAGCCATCCCTATAATTAAAGAAGAGGAAGACAGACAAGCATAATGGGGATTTATAAGTTGTCAAAAACACCACTCCCTTCTTGCCAGTTTTCATTTATGAAAACATTTCCATAACTTAGAAATAAGCAGAAGGAAATTGTGTTGTGTTGGGTTTTTTTTTTCTTTCTACTGCTTTTTTCGCAGAGTACAGGCACTGTGTTGGCTAGATTTCAGTAGGGTAATCATGATTTTCTTTAGTGAAAAGCTCTCATTTTATTTGCATACTGTTACTGAGTGTATTTCCTGAGCTATCTTGTAATAGTGTCACTTGCTGTTTGAAGGGATATTGTAGTGCAACACTGTGTGTGTGTAAATAAATTCTGATCCCAGAGTAGTCTGACAGCTGAGAACAGCAAAAAGAAGGGAGATCACTGGTAATAAAAGTACAATTTCAAGTTACAGAAAAAAAGGTGAGAAAGCAAATAGGAAACTGCCTTTCAGGGGTGAGAATCTGCAAAGCAAAATCAGAGGAATTACTAATATTCCTAAGACTGAAAGGAGAACAAAGGGATCTCCAAATAAAGATGTTTTTTGTTATTGTGTGACAAGTACTTAAAGTGAGTCATTGACTAGAAAATTAACCTACTCTTAAAAAATGTTTGCTTAATTAGAACTGTGATAGTTTCTGGGTTTGGGTTTTTTTCCTTTATTCGCTGACACAGTTTGAGCCTAAAGCAGTCTGTTAATCCCAGGTGTCCCTGTGGCAGGCAGTGTGAAGCAGGACTCGTATATTTGCCCGGTCCATATCAGTCCCACGTCACCACGGGACTGGATGAGATCAAGGGAGATGGGCAGCCCAGGCATGAAGTGCTGGAGTCTGCTCTGAGGGATCCCTCAAGTGTGTTCTAAACCTTAAGTCGTAGTTGGGGTTCCTCTGAAATGACCAGCTGATGCACCCAGAACTTTTTCCTGGATGAAAACCTTAGTTTTTATCTCCGCTCATATTGGCTTTGTGTGATTCCTTTAGAAC